TCCCAATAAATTAATTACTATTACATGCAAAAGGAATTTTTGATAAATTAGTAATTATGGATTACTATTATTTTTTGAGGGGGTAAAATGACATTTTTTGGCCCCCACCCCCCCCTGAAATTTTTTTCCGCCAAACTTGTGCAGGCCCCCTAGGCGGTCGCCTTTTCGACCACCTGGGCGGCCGCCTAGTTTTGGCTGCCTAATAGTGTCCATCTTGAGAACGCCTAGGCGTTTTCTCCAAAAAGCTGCCAAGGCGGTCGGGCGGACAACTTTTTGATCATTGACGGAAACCGAGACCAAAGAGAGGTAATATGAGTGGCTTATTGTGTCATTCTGTTTTTGTTTGTTAAATAGCCCGATTACATTTGTGTGTATTATAAATCAACTCTTAAGGTTGTTTGTAGTTTACTTTGATGATATCCATATCTATAGTGCCGGAATTTCAGAGCGTTTAAATCATTTACATCAAGTATTGCAGGGTGGACCAAGAGAAGGTCAAGGTCATATTAAAGTGACTTACACCTAACTAATGGAACATGTGTGATTTGCACGCGAATGTATTAAGCATAAAAACATTTAAAAACCATCTAAATCTAAAATTATGAATAATAGAATACAAGATTTTGAAATTCAAGTATAATGTGTACATACCTTGGAAACAGGCAGAGATCTATCCAATTCTAATAAAGCAATCTAATGCCAATAAAAACAAGGGGATAAAAACTATTACCCACTCTATACCATCTCAATAATAAGCATCATCTCTCCTGTGTTGTAGGATGAAAAAATCAACAAGTAAACAAAAGAAGAAGTTTATAACATACCTTCAAACTCTCTCAATAGGTCTTAAACCCCTTTCTCTTAAGGCTGTCTACTGTATGTTTTCTCTAGTAAAAGGGTTCCCCTTCATTATAACGACACGAGTCTTGTCCCACCCTTAACTGTGGCTTAATATATGTATAAACTATTTTAGCGAGAAATTGAGGTAGTCAAAGGCCAACTATCAGTGCAGGATATTGAGTTTTATTCTGTGGTAGGCATTTTGGCATTGGAACCATCATCTCATACAAAGGGAATCTATTCTCTTCTCCGATCATGATGCATTGAAATTCTTGAATGCCTAAAAGAAGTTGAATAACCAACTTGCGAATTTGCAAGGGGTAAGTTCTGTGCTCCAGCATAAGTTGGGAAGTCAAAATAAGGCTGCCGATGTGTATAGCTGAAATGTAGCCTCGCTTGGGACCCTATCAGATAAAGCTGTCAGTTCTGAAATTATTCCATAACTATGAAATGGATATTTATTTCAGCAAGAGACTTGAACAATTCAAGCAAGGACATGCATCTGTAACATTCATGGTGCGACAGAGAAAGGATCTTAAAGTGGAGGAGAGCAGTTGAACTTGATGCTTTGCGTATAGGGAGGAGACTGATGAACTGCAAACAGTAAGTTGAGCACTGTGGGTACAGAATTGGCCAAGATTTAGAGGACGGGACGGGACATGGTGGTTTATTTGATGACTTTGCATAGGCTAATTAGCAATATCAAGCTTCAAAAGCCTTCCCTCCTAGCAGTTGCAGATGGCATGGCCCAGAGATTCCAAGAGGCTATTCAGGCATTATGCAAAATATGGTAGGGCTGCTGCCATAGCGGCAGAGCGAGACACTGCCACAACCAGGCTTTTGGTAGCCTGTCAACAGGCCCAGATCTAGCGATCTGCTATACCGCAGCATCAGTGCTAATCTTCATCTTGTTCCTTTTTGTCAGAGTTACCATCAGGTTCTTCTTGCCTCCTCTCCTTCCCTTCTTCTCATCATGTATATTTTTCCTTTCTGCCCTTTTTGTAGAGGGAATGAATCAAATCAAAAGCAATAATAGTGATCATTTTGTTCTTTTTGCTTTGTCACTGAAATATGGTTGAGTTGGTCTGATTAAATGAATAGTCTAGCCTATCACATGCCTAACCAAGTAATCCTCATGCAGTCATGAAACAATACAGCCAATAGGATGTCTTCCTGTAGCACCATAACTTTACAAAGTAGTTTAACCTCTTGCAAGGAGGGATTAACAGTTTATCCTCGTGTAGCCAATGGAGTGCTACAAAGTGGCTGCCGTGAGCTCTTATGATGTACCAAAGACAATGGCAAGAAAATAGAAAAACTTAAGACTCTAATGTGTAACACCATTAATTTGGCAGTTTTAACCTCTTGCAGGAAGGGGCTTAACAGTTTATCCTCATGTGACTGATGGATCATTATCAAGTCATGCCACTAAAGGTTCTGGGGTGGGTTTTTACGAGAACATTTAGGATTTACCAAGTAGTTTAACCTCTTTCTGGGAGGGGCTTACACAGTATATCCTTATGTAGTCAATGGAGCATTACAAAATTTATGCAGAGAAACGCTTTAAGAAATGCCCATTGATGGGCAGTAGGAACCTTTTGCCATCCATGGCAATGAGGTATTAAGCTTTTCCAAAGAACTGCATCATTCAAAATGGTTAGCAAGGGTTTTTGATTGCCAAAGTTTAGATTTTCTAGATAATGAAATGTCCTCTCTTTCTCAAGAATGCTTCAGGGGTTCATACAATTCAAGTTATTTGACTGCAAAGCAATATTTAAGAAAAGGAAATACAGCCAGTGGCCCTACTCCAAAACTCTCAGGCCAAACAGCCATCCTTGATCGGCTCCTGGACATTTCACCCCCTTTTACCATTAAACATCTGCCCATGGAGCGCCTTTTGTACCACTAAAGGGGAGGGACCATAAATATTGGATAATTTTTACCCCGCATAAAAAAAGAAAAAGTTGGTTGAAAATTTCGTTTAGTCTTGCTGAGAAGGAAGAAGTCAAATCTGGTGGAACCGAAGATGGAGCAGTTAAAGATGAAAAGAAACCTGATGCTTCTCTCTTATTGCTGACTTTCACTATAATGAGTTTTGAGGTTTATTAATGTGGTGTACTTGAGGGACCATGATGTAAAGGACTAGGATTTCTCACTTTGCTCATTAGATGGTGGTGTTTAGGCTTGGAGAAAAAAGGATGAGAAAGACAATGTGATGAGAGAAGAATGGTGAGGGGAAAGGGACTAGATAAGTGTAAAATGGTGAATAGAAAGTATTGCCTTTTTTTTCATTTCTTGAGAAATATTATAGTCAAGTGGAAATTGCAGATTGACAACCTTTGAAAGCCAAATGGCCGGATTTTCTTAAAATTAAGAGTCATTGATTCAATTCTCGACTGAAAAAGGAGGAAGAGAGAGAGTGAGGGGCTTATGGTTATAAAGAGAGAAGAGATATTGATGGAGAGAAGAGTGATGGTTAGAGAGAGGAAGAGAGGGAGAGAGGTAATGGTTAGAGAGGGGGAGAAGATACTGTATGTTCAGAGAGAGAGGAAAAGAGAGCAAACCATAGAAGGGAAATGCCGTTCTTATCATATACTATAGTATTGAGATGGACAAGGTCATCCATTGGTATTGAAACGGAGTTCTATGGGAGATCTGCCACTGCTAAAGGATATGTCTGGGCACGGGTGAAAGAGGGGTATTTGACCAGATAGTTTTGGAGGGGGTGGCGCTGGTCATTTTCCTAAAGAAAAAGCGGAGAGGACAAAATAACCCAAATGGGATTGCGACTTATAAAAAGTAAAATCACACATACCCAGAAAAGAATTTGAAATAGGGTTCTGATCTGTTGATCAAATCCATGGGACAGGTGGTCCAGTAATTCTGACTGGTTTGTAAAAAATTTTTCTTTTTATTTAGGAAAGGAGTGACAATATCCCTGGTTCCAGTCCAAACCAGTCAAACTGGCAAAACTTGTCTAGTACTTATTGCTTACACCATTGGTAGGAGCTATCATATGAGGAAACATTCAGTTTCTAGAGCCCTGCTCTAGTTTGGTGATTCCTGATCAGAGTCATGAAATTTGTTAATATGAACGATTTTGCGCCTCACTAAAATTTTATGACAGTACCCATTGTGTAAAGAATTTGTGGAGTGCCTAAGACTGATTATTACCATATTCCCTGTGGTTTGAAAATTATTGAATTACTTCTGAATACCAAATTGGTTGATTTTTATTGACTTTTTACCTAGATAATGTTTCTGACTGTTATGATCACCTTAGTTGGGCCATGGACATGTAGATTTGCCTGTCCAGTAGATATTAATGCCTTGGGATGTAGAAACTCAACACGTTCAACTCTTATGTGTACATGGCCATGTATAGCACATTATGTTAATTTCTCTCTGTAGATTGCCATTGATTTAAATAGCTCAGCAAATTTCAGCTGGTGGCTATGTACAGATCATATAACTACAGTTATAATCTGAAACAAGAATGTCTTGGAGATCTTTTTCATTATCCGTGTACAAACATGTTGATGAGGTACCTTCCAAACATGATGGTCAGTTCTATTATAATGCTTATAATGGGGATGATGCTTCTCTATATAGTAATTTTTATCTGGGTGTGATGTCTCATTTGATGAGTCTCGATGTTTCACTGGGTAACACCCAGCCTATCTGATTGCTTTCTTTCTGTGAATATTTTTGAACTTCCTCGGTCCATGATGAGCCCATACAGCTCATGCTTAGATGTGTGCACCGAAACTTCAGTATTGTGGAGTGCTTATTGGGTAGCTTATAGTATATTTAATGTTGAAATAGTAAGGACTGATTAACCGGAGCTAGCTCCTTATTGACTTGAGAGTGACACTTCTGATTTTTTCCCATCATCTGATTGTTCATAATGCAGAAACCTCTCCATATTTTATAGCATAGGTGTTGACTTTCTTTATGATTAGATACTGTCATGCTTGTGCATACTCTTTGTTCATCAATTACCCTTTCTTTTTTTATCACAAATTTTGGGCCTCTTGAAACAATCGTTAATCTGCTTCAAGCAATTTAACCTATGAATGTAAGTTTTTGGGATTTTGATTATTTCGGGTTTAATATATTTGGCATGTGACAATTAATGCACACAACGCTTATGTTTTCAGGTTCGTGCCACTCCTGGCCATACATTGGGTTGTGTTACCTACATTACAGGAGAAGGCCCTGATCACCCTTACCCTAGAATGGCCTTCACTGGGGATGCTCTTTTAATAAGAGGCTGTGGTAGGACAGATTTCCAGGTTAATATCTAGAAACTTCAAAATAAATGTTGTTAAATATGTTTGTGGAATTTTAAAGCTCTTCCAGGTTTCCAGGTTAATATCTAGAAACTTTAAAATAAATGTTGTTTAAATACCTTCACGGAACTTTAAAACTATTTACCCAAAAAAAACGGAACTTTAAAATTCTTTAGGGCTTGTAGATTTTGGCTTTTTACATCAATGTTTTGTGTATTATGAGGTTAACAATTGCTTTGAAGTGATTGCACAGATCATCAGAAAGTTGTGAGAGCAATATAGATATGCCTCACTCCAACATCATTGTGTTGCTGCGGTCAGATCATTTTTGCCAGTGTTTTCTCCAAAATCTATGACTCTTCAATCCGTGCTTTAGTTGGAGTTTACTGTGTTCTACATTTGCACCATACTTGAAACAACTAATTTGTCCTATTACAATCTAATTTTATGGTTTCAGGAACCAATGTGTATCCGATATGTGTTGTTGTTTGGTGTTCTACATCTACATGAATGTCGTTCTCCACTTCATGAAATGCAAATCAACATGCTTTTTATTAATTAAAGAAAATGCCTGGTTATACAGGTACCATCAAATTGTACTAAAGTTGACCTATGCGTGTGTAATCTAGAGTAGGATGTAATCGAACTGCTGTTAATATACTAAATGAATTAGACAACAGAAAGGATAAAGATTCTCAACATATATATATCCCAAAGACATGTACACTAGCATATAAATGCGCAAACAGCCACCCCTCAGACTCAACTTTGTTGACGTAGACAATGAGGGACAATAATTGATGATATTGACAAACTTCTATAGGCAGCTGTAACTTAGAAACGCATCTAAATGAGATTACAAAGAATAGATTCTGATGCAGGAGGACATGGCCCGTACGTTTTATTATTTCTATTTATTTAATTTTAAGGACATGGGTGATTTTCATTCATTTCTATTGGTTAATTTAGGGATTAAATGTATAGAGAAATTAGGAGAACCAGGATTTTCATGTGGGAGTCCTAAAAAGGGAGGTCTTACAGAGGTTAATATCAAGGGCGAGGAGTCAGAAAATTTTAGGAATCAAAGAGGGAGTATAGAGGTAAAATAAAGAGGGGGTTTTTAGTTTCTAACTTTAGTTGAGAGATTTTATTGTATTTCTAGTTTAACTAGCGCAAAGTCAATGAAGCGAATCAAAATTCAATCACAATGATGAAGCAGATTTAGTGCAAATTGATCCATCTCACAACCAGGGGAGAGCCAATTTCACTGTGTGTGAGGATCAAGGTAAGTTTATATTTTCAATTTGAATCATCCTCCTTTAGTCCCATGGATGGTCCTATGTTGATGAGGATCCTAGAGATGATCTGACTCATAAAGAAGAAGCTGGTATTTTTTATTGTCAACCGATTTTTGATGAAGAAACCTTGGATGATGATAAAGAAGTTGGAGATTCTATCTATGATGAAGAACATGCTGCAGATCATGATGAGGACAAGCTTGATGGGTTTTTGAGTTGGGTTAGGGTTCTTCAAGTTGTAGAGGAGAAGAATTTTATGGGTTTAGAACATTGGAATCAGGGTGGCGTAGAGGAAGCATAGTAGATCGTTAACCCACTATTCGTGGCCCTTGATTTGAGATAGGAAGTAGCTGTTGGGGATGTTGAAGACAGCTAGGAAGAAGAATTTGAAAAACCAGGAGGAAACCTAGGTCTTGAAGTTGGGAAGATTTAGATAGTAGATGAGCTGATTTGAGCATTGTACCTTTGATAGGCCATAACTTTCCATTTGAAACTTAGAATCGTTAATTATTTGTACTTGTTGGAAAGCTTATCCAAAGCTGTAAGACATCTAAAGTTCCTAAGCACTTGTTTTGCCCCACTGATTTTGTCGAAAAAAACCATTAAAGTTCCGAAAGGGCCTCTGAAGTTTTTTGAAGTTTTTAGTGCCTAAAATAAAGGGTATTGTTTGATAAGTTCATATAAATTCTTCAATATACAAATCTAGATCCCCTTCTTGAAGACTTACGATACCAGAAAAGAAGAAGAAGATTAAAGAAGATGGTGGATTTGGTGCAAGACTCATCTTAGGCCACTTCAAAATTTGAGGACGAGTTTTCTCTATCTGATACATGAACAATTGGCTTGTATTTTTAATTATTTAATTTTAGGCACCTGTTTTTTATTACTTTTATTGGTTATATGAGGATCAAATTGGATTTTAATTTATTATAATGGGATAGGCTAGTGAAATCTTTATTTCCTTAATTTTAGGATTTTTTTAGAGTCCTAATTTTATGGGATTTCCTATTTTGATGGGATTTTGTAGAGAAAGTAAAAGAATTAGGGTATTTCATGTAAGAGATCTAACAGGTTGGGGCTCTTAGGGAGTTGCATGACTATCAAGAGAGAGGAGTCCAAATTTTTTAAGAATTAAAGAGGGAGTGCATGGCTGAGAGTAAAGAGGGGTTTAGTTTATAGATAAGAAGTTCAATGGGGAGATTTTTAAAGTTTTTTTCCTTTTATAGCTGCAGATTTTATTGTATTTATGGTTTAACCATTCCAGAGCCATTAAAGCCTGGATTGTCGGCTTCCTCTTTTTTTAAGAGAAGGTTAACTTTAATAAAATGAAAAGTACAAGTACAAAAATGTTCTCCCACACAGGGGAGCACTATACATAAATTCACCCGAAGAGTGAGGGAAATGCGAAAATTGTATACATCCATGGCTTCCAAAAGAATGAAGGTGGAAATTGAGTGAGACCCTAAATCAGGTGGGTCCACCAACATTAGGACTTGATGCACCTTCCTTAGCAAGGGTCCACGAAGTTGTGACTGACCTGATGATCCCAAAAATCTCGTCGAAGATATGGGCTAGTCTCCACGGGTGGGCTGCCTTTCCTGAGGCCCGGGAGATGACACTTTTACACCAGCTGGGATTGAATGCCCTTAATCCCTCAAGCAAAGCCAAAGCTTCTGGCATGGTGCTATCAGCAAAGCCAATCGCTTTAGAGAAGGAAAGGAAAGAATTGCCCGCATGGTCTCTGAATATGCCCCTATTCCAGCTGGCCCAGGGTTGCCAAGGGAGGAACCATTGAAATTAAGCTTAAGTTAGCCTGGTTCAGGTGGCTGCCATCTAACAGCAGAACTCACCCTGGGTGTGGTAAGATGGCACAGCGCCTGCCAATTAATTGAAACATCCACTGATGAAAAGTACTTAAACCATTTGTGATTTCTTCCCTAGAAGGTCATTAAGGATCTGATGCGCTCCTTGAGCCCTTCCGAGGTGGCTCTAGTTCCTCTGAAAATGTGGCTGTTACACTTGGTCCATATTACCCAAGGGTAGCAGATATGGTTGCCTTCCATAGGAAGACGCCTGCCTTAGGCCATGGCAGAAACTGAAGCATGTTGAAGAGGCAAGGGAGGGAGGGTGGGGTAGCCCAAAAGAGCCCAAAAGAGCTGTATAGTGGCTCCCCAAATCTCAGTAGCTAGTTTGCAGTGGAGAAAAAGGTGGGCGTTCGTTTCCTCTTTGCAAAGGCACATGATGCATCGATTGGGGAAAGACATACCTCTTCTCTGAAGGTGATCCACTTTCAACACTTTTTCAAGTGAGGCCAGCCAGTTGTAGGCTTCCTCTTTAATTCTCTGGTGATTGGATTATTTGATCTTCTTTCTGTGTGAAATTCGTTTTACTACTTAAGAATCAGAGTCTTGTGGTGTCAACTCAAGTCTTACTATTTTTGTTCTTGTTTATCAGAAAGTCAATTTATTTGCTAAAAATATTTTGACTTATTACTTTTGACCTCATTCTTTGACTGATCCAGTCACATATTCAGGGTCAGCTAAATTTGGTGACCTCGTATAGTTAGATATTTAGTTAATGATGTTCATCTCTTTATTGCGCAGGGAGGAAATTCACATCAACTGTACAAGTCGGTGCATTCACAGGCAAGTCAATTATCCATAGCTTGGAATAAAGCACCTCTGTTATTTACCAAATTTATATAAATGTCCCTTCGCATCTTTGTTTTCACCAAAATAATCCCAAAGACTAACAGCCACTAATTTTAAGGAGATAAAATTTGAGGAGTTCTCATATTTTCTGTGTTCATGCATGTATTCAGATTTTCGCATTGCCAAAAGACACATTGGTGTACCCTGCGCATGACTACAAAGGCTTCACTGTAAGGAACTCACGATGATATGAAATTCATCCCTTTATTTATGTATTCATTTATTTACTATTAGAACATGCACTTTATTGATTATGCAGTTTATTCATTCTATTACCTACCAAAGTAAAAGCTTTGTAAAATGTTCGGTATCATCATACGATCCAAGAGTTCTTGAAATATTTGATTAAACATCTTTAATGTTTCAGGTCAGCACAGTAGGGGAAGAGATGTTGTATAACACACGTTTGACGAAAGATGAGGTGAACCTGTTAGCCACCTTTGAACTTTCTTCTATGGAAACAATTGGAGGAAGAAAGTGTGAATTTTTTTTTTCTTAATTTTGAAAAATTTAAATCTAAATTTTTTATTCATGGTTGAAAATGAAGCATGTATTAATTTTAGAACTGTTCTTTGAATTAACATTACTATTGGTAGTTGGACAAGCCTTTGTTCTATATACTTTGCCTTAGAGTCTTTCATAAAATGCAGTCTCTAATAATTGGAGTGTTTGGCCTTTGATACTGGTAACCATAGATTCTTAATGAGATGGACTTTGAAGGAATTTGAAGCCAATTCGCTCCCATTATATATTCAAACCCAGTCATATTAGAGTACTGGTGGTTTTAGAATCTTCCATGTCAAGTGTTAATTGTAAAAACAAAGGTCCTGTACTCCTGTGTTATGTAAAACTTCTTCTCAATTAATTGTGTCAAGATTAGTTACTAACTTACTATAATTAACTACCCGGTGATCATATTCTTGAAAGTCACAATCCACTACAATTTTTTGCTATTTCGAATCATGTCAAATTATGTTTTCTGCAATGTTTTAAAGTATACGCTGCGTCATCATTTTGCCTTTCAGAACAAATTTGAAACTGAGCGCATGTAAGTTGTGATCCTTCTTGGCTTCTAGAATCAAACTCTGGACTAGCACCACCATAAGTTGGATGCTGGTCCACCTTTCTGAAATCCCTACTTTTAAGGATGAGGGAAAGCTCATGAGTGTCATTTTCAGATGGGAAACTTGTTTGTGATCCACTTGCGACTTTAAACTTGCCATAATTTGTTCAGTACCCTGCTCTTAGTCCATCTTCAATGTCATGTTCAATTGTTACGATTAATGATTAAGAAACCGGGCTTAGGGTGGCAATGGGCTGGTTGGCCCAGCCCAGACCTGGGTACTGATGCAAGGGCTGGGATTAGGCCAGGGGCCATGACTTGGCTTGGCCAGGCCGATGCCTTTTTTTTGTCATGAATTTAGAAAAGAATAATATCTACTGTCCCAGCCTGGCAAGGCCCAGCCAGCCCTATTAACAGGGCCAGGGGACCCTCTCGGGTCCTGGACAGGGCTCGGGCCAGCTCTGACCCATTGCCAGCCTTGGCCAGGCTTGCGTCTGGATTCACCATTGTCCATTGTCTGAGTCAGCCCGTTCGACTCAGGTGACTTTCAAGTAGACTCAGCCAAGTCCATTAAAACTCAACAAAGGAGGGCCAGAAGTCCTGAGTTACTAGCTTAGGGCTCGCCAGGGTCCCGAGTTGAGCCGAATTGGGCTATTCCTGAGTGAGTTTCGCGAGTTTTTAAACATTAGTTATGGTGTTTTATCCTTAAATCTGTCTACTTCAAACTCTGGGATTGATCTGTTCCTCACATGGCATGCATGTAGGTAGGTTGATTCTATCAAGATAATGAAGCAACATTGCTGGCAGAAGCTTAACTTTCTATGGTTTGAAGGGTTCCCACAAAAACAAGTTCATGGAGATCAACTTATTTCATTTACCATATGTGGGATTATTTAAGTTTTTATGATAATTTTTTATCTAGATAACTAGTTTCAACATGCTTGCCTATAGAAAATTAGGCACGTAGAAAATGATCGTTGTTTGTTTGAATTGAAGGCTGTGGAGTATGGAACTCTCAGTCTCACACCTCTCATGGCACAAAAGAGAAAACACCACCATTTCTGGAAATATGGTTAAATTTTATATGATATAAATTCGATGCAGCCATGCTATATTTTAGTTTACAATCGGCACATTCCTTGTTTTCAGGAGCTGGCAGTAGAATTAATCATTATGTAAATTTCTAGTATCGGTACTTACTCAAAATTTGTGTCTTCCTGCCTAGAGAGAGTTTGATATCTGCTCAATACCTGAGCCCATAGTATTAGTTGGATATTGAAACAAGTGCATGGTAAATGCCACAAGAGAAACACAATGGAGCTTTGAAGAATGAGGGCTCTGTGATTTAGGGAAAGCTAAAGTTGTTTAATTGATTAGGTGGCATTTATCATTTTCTGGCACCTAAGTTTCTGAAACCTTGAGAGTTCCCTTTCGACATTCTATTTCGCCAAAATGGAGAAGTTCAAACTTTAAGAAATTTTAGATTGTTAGCTGGAATTCTACACCCTCTTAAAAGTGAAGAATACCACACTTGTTCAGGACTCGACATTGTCCTGAATTGACTTGTTTAGACTCAACTGAATCTTTTTTAGGCTCCACAGAGTGAGAACAGAAAATATTATCAAATAGCTAGACTTGGTGGAGTCCTATTGCTTGTCAGATACTAGACAGTGATCCAAGTGGCGTTGGCTTATCCAAGCTCCTAGTTTTTAACTGTCTTGAATGTGAATGCACTGTATGGCCATTTAGTTAGAAAAAGTCTTCTATTTCGCATGACAATAATTGATGGTTCTATTAGTCTAAACTACTTGGTAAGATCTCATGAATGCCAACATGGCAAAGTGTTATTGATTCATATGATCTTGGTAACAACATGGTCGGTCATATGGGTCACTACCATTTCAATGGGCTGAATGGTGAAGAGGGAGCAACTCCATTCTGATGATACAAATTTGAACTGTTGAAAAAACCATTCTAATTTGGTACATTTGAAATCAAGTGAACTTCCATGAATTCAAGGACATTTGGGCCCTCTTGGAAATTGCCAGCTATTTGATTATTTCCCTTTATCGGTTTTGTAAACTTTTTCTTATTTTCTTGCCAGACTGAATGGACACTAACCCTTCTTATCTCTAATATTAAAGTATTTTTAATTTTAAATTTTAACGTTTTCCATCATATCATTGAACTGCGCTAACTTGTTGTCATGTTTCAGGAGACATTCACCAGCATCATGGAAAGTGAGTATTGCTCAGTGCTTAAATTGAATTTCTTTGATTGAACTTTTACTGCGGTAGCCTGCTTATACCAGATTATGCAATGCAGATTTAGGTTTGTCATATCCAAAGATGATGGATGTTGCAGTACCTGCAAATATGGTATGTGGGTTTCAAGATACCACAGCAAAAGTGGTGGCTTCTAATATCTAAGGCTGTTGAAATTGTGTCATATAAAATTACCAATATCAATGTGCACGCTCAATGCACATTTGGAACTTGTGGAACATTCAAGTTGGCTATATTCTTAGGTGACAAGCAAGGGAAATAATGTATAGAGATCTCAGCTCATTATTATTCTGATTGAATAATAGCGTTTTATGCCATTTGTTGCCTAATTGCTTGTCATCTAATATGATTTCACTGTCATGCTTTAACAATTATATATGGTGTCTTTGGGTTTGGTTCATTTGAAGGATCAGACGGTTCTAATTTGAGTTATGGATGCTACCAGAAGATAAGGACCGTCCATCCCAAATCTGATCTGCCTTGTGATAATCTATTGGGATACTATTATTGTAGTTCACGCATACAAATTTTTTATGGGACAAAGTAGGGGAGGCCCTTTTTAGAATATATTTATTTAACGACAGCTATCAATTTTGATCATTCAGCAACACAATTTTATGGGGTGGCTCACAAAATGAATAATTCAATAAGGAACGACTTTTTTAGAATATTGGATGGCAAATTTTATTTTTTGACGTTATTTTTATCAATTTACATTTGTGATCTGATCAATAAGCCCAACCCTTTTGACAAACTTTAGAACTCAAAGAAAGAAATTTATCAAATCAAACATAATAGTTAAACTATTAACATGTCATCTATGTCTTTTTGACAAGCCCTTCGATAGAAACTTAGAACTAAAAGAATGAAATTTATGAAATCAAACTTTAGATTGTTTGACATCTCGTGTATATCTTTTTGAAATCTAATTTCGGATAACGTATCATTCTTTTGTCTAATTTCAAATAATATGGTTTTTAAGATTTATCAAACAATAGCTATGCTTCGGATTTGATTTGGTAAATTTCCCTTCAAAGAAAAAGCAGTTTTGTCAGACCGCCGGCTGCTTTGTTTTAGATTCGCGTAAGTGTTTAGTGTACTGTAGAGAAAGGGTGGCGAGGGGATATTGTATTATACATGATTCTGTTGTCTGTAGTATGTACTAATGGCACTTTGAGAGAGAGAGAGAGAGAGCTCTTTTTTCTTTTTTTTTTTTAATCTGTTATTTTTTTTTTTTTTTGGGTTGTTCAGTAGTGATCCCCTACTCTTAATAAGAATTCTTAATAAGAATGGAATTCGAGATGTGAGCTCCGCTACCAGAACCACCAAGCCTTGACCCCGTTTCTTATTTGAGAAGTATAGGATTATTTCTCACCGAGCAGTTACTCGGGCTAAGAGTAAATTTACTTCTTTGCAAATATCCAAAGAAAAACATACATAGTCATATTGCTTATTTCAAATCGAGGTATGCGCATTTCTGTTCTGCAAAATACAACTACTAACTTATTGATTATCTCAAGCAAATATGTTTGCACACCTTTGCCAAAACACAAAACTAACACGGAGAAAAAGAAAAATGAGCCAATAAAGAATCCAATCAATTCAATTTTTCATTTCCTCTTTCAAAAAAGTAATAAGGATATTACAATATAAAAAAAAGGGGAGGGGGGACAAAAAAAAAGGCATACAATCTATACAATTCTCTCTACCACCTCAACAACCAACGTCTATTTTCTTACACCTCGGCACACTTCATTGGCGCAAACCCAAGGCGGGAACCCCCCACATCATACAAAACATGAAAGTTTTGTTGCTGATAATTTCCCAAAATTGACATGTATGACCTTGGAGTTTCAAGTATTGCCAAGCAAACTACCCCCTCAGGCTCAAACCTAATAAAGTAATTTTCCACTGGAAAGCTCCAAACTGCCCCATCCCTGAAAATAATCTCAAACACAGGCAGCTCCACTCTCTCTAAACCAGAGACATTATAACAGGGATCAAGCACTGGATAATTCTCAACTCTTGGAAACTTAATCCACTTCTCAAAAGCATCTTTGATCTTCTTATATGCGGGCTTGGCAAAGTAGCTGAGTGTTGTGCCTGAATCCACAATTGTTCCTCCGGTGCCCTCGGCTGTGATTTTGAAACTTTCAGGAGGAATTTCCACGAATTTCCCTCCGATTTTCACTCGATCGATCTCTACGTAGTAGAAGGTCTCTGATGTACTATTTTTCGCAGAGACAATCAGAGAAGTGAATTGCACGTTGGGGTGTTTTAGGAGGTTGGGATCTTCGCCGAAAATTAGCTTGCTCGTAACTGTGAATTCACTATTGCGATCGACTAAACAGTAAGAGAATGAGCTCCCATACTTTGATTGTAATTGCGAAGAGAAGGAGAGAGGGCCTCGGCCTAATCCGAGAAGGCCGGCGGCTCCATGGAAGAGACCCCTGTTCCAATGCCCACATCCAAACATGATGTCCTTCACCTCCAGGCTCCTCTCCCCAGAAAATTTGTTCCTCTCTCTAGAACTCATGTTTCTCTCACCAGAAAGAGCTTGGCTCTCTCCAAAAAAAGATGGGTTTTCCTCATGATCAATGGGGGACGTGATGTTTAGAGTGAAGGTTTCCATGGCAAAGTCCCCTGTTGTATTTGATTGATCACCATACCAGTAGAAGTACTCACATGTCTGGTTATTTGACATGCATGGTCTTATGGGTTCGGGGGGCTGGACCAAGCTACACCTTGAGTCATGGCAAGAGATGGGTGTGTATGATGATGATGCATGAGGGTCATAGAATGGGCCATGCTGTTCAAAACAGTGATGGCATGGCAGGCATTGCAGCCAATTGAGGTCACTTCCAGTGTCTAAAATTAGGGAATAGTGTTTTGGGGGTGTCCCTATGAACACATCCATGAAGTATTCCCCTGATCCTAAGGTCACACCAGATTCAAGTGTGGCAATAACAGTTCCTGGTGGTTTTCTAGAGAGAGAAGATGGGGGTGTCGGTTCATAATGGGTTTTGGGATTTTGGGTTGTTTCTCTCTGTTGAATACTGGTCTTTTTGTGGAGTTTCTCTATTCTGGTCATGTCTCTGTAACATGAATCTAGTAGAGCTTGAGTCCTGGTTTTCTGAACTTTTTTATCTATGTGATTGAGCTGAACTTTTAAGGTCGGCTTTCTTACCTCATCCGCTGCTGAATTCTTCTTCTTTTCTTTCTCTAGCTCTTTTCCTGAAGGATTGAGTTCACAGTCCTCTGTGAGAGAAGGTTGTTGGAAATGTTCCGGGAGAGCGATGCCATGGAGATGGGAACCTCCATCGCTTTGGTTAAATATTGCAGAAGCATTTCTTATGTAGAAGAGGGAGAGGATCAAAACCACTAGCACAATCACAGAGAAACCCATGATCTCTATTTCCCTGAACTTGGAAAACCAGAAAACCGAAATAGATGAATCAGAAGAGAATCAGTAGTTGCAGGTCCGGATAAAGAACAATGGAATCAGTAGTACCAACAGAGACGGTGGTGTTGGGAGCACCCAAAACAGAAGTGAATTAACTGGGTTGTGGAGCGTAGAGAGAGGAAAACGCGGTTTTAGAGAGAGTTGGTGGGTTTACCTGGTCAGAAATAGTGGTTTCTTCCATGTTTCCTCCATGTGAGAATTTCTTTCTTTTGACCCCACAAAGCTCGAGTTTGTATCTCTCTTGAGAGAGAACATGTGGAGAGAGAAAGAGAGAGTAATGTAGAGAGATCAGTGGAAAACTTTGTGAACAAGAAGTTACTGGGTTCTTGGGTCATCGGTCTTCTTCTGTTTTCCATCGGCCACTGCCTACAGTTTTTTGCTTTTTTTTCTTCTTGTAAAAAGAAAGACTGCATTTATTGCTTCACCAACTCCTCGGCAAAACATCGGATGGTGCAGTGAAAGACCAATATACCCCCCTCCCCCAATAAATAGCGGTCACTTTCATTTTCACAGGTAAACACGCAAAAAAGATAGACGTAAAAAGACAAGGGGAGATGATTATATAAAACCATCTCCCACCCAACCCAAGTGTATTGGACGTTCGAAAAATCATTATTAAAGTTGACATAAATATTTAAAAATTTCATATTCATGTTATAATTTTTTTTAGATGTCCATATCAATTTTAACACTGATCTTTTGAAGTTTTACCCATATGGGTAAGAGAGGGTCTTACAGAGACATTACTCTAAGACGAAATACTTTTCGTATTGTCCATGATAGTTTTGACCATATTCCCCTCAAATCCCCATCCCATAAGTTCCCTACTAATTATTATTATTTTATTTATTTTTAATATTTTTTAGATTACATATTCAAACCTATTTTGGATCACTATTTCAATGATCTGATATAGATACGTGGGTAAATGATCTGCCCCATCGGTCAGGGTTATGAAACACTCATTTTGAGTTTGACGAGATGAGCACCAAACCTCCCAGGTGTACCCTCTTTATTGACAGTAATGAATTTTTCATTACACGGATCCCTTTCTCCATAAATAGTTCTAAGAGCATATAGAATTTGTAATACTTTAATTTGGGAAAACACTTAAAAATGCCTATAGGTGAAATTTAAGTGTTTTGTCTTTCAACGGACATGCTATGATCGTAGTAACTTTTTTCTAAAAACCGCAATAGATATGCTAAAAAAACCACAATGGACATGCTATGTCCGTAGTGATTTTTCTTTAAAAACCACAATAGATATGCTAAAAAACCACAATAGACATGCTATGTTTGTGGTGGTCTTTTAATCCACGCCGTCTAAAAAAAATCGGATGGTGCAAAGTTTATGGACGAAAATACTGTTTATTTTCGCCCATAAACATAGCGTAGTCTTTTCCTTTAATTTATAATCAAAGTATTCATCTATTAAAAATCGGGTAAAAGTTTATATAGAGGTTGGACACTAAACAATCAATTTAGAGCCCACCTCAAAAAGTTCATTAGAAGAGGTTGTGTTGATGCCCAAATATCATCAAATTGATTATCTCGACATCAAGATGCATGGACATGAGAAAAAAAAAATAGATTTCAAGTTTTAGAAATAGTACATCTGGTAATGCATTTTTTGATCAAAATTTTCAAATTTTCATATATCTGCTCGATATATACTATTTTTAAAATTTTATAAATAAAAATAAAAATATATTTTAAGGCTGTTACAAAAATTTTCAGTATTAAAACCATATTTCTAGACGATATTTGAAGACCCTTAAAAATCAGATGCAAATCATGTGCAACGGTCGAGTAACCAAATTTCAAAAATAGTGTTAGACTTTCCTCAAGGGATATTCCAGTCAATAGAACAAAAGAGACGGCTCAAATGTGTAATGCAAACAGTGGACGTCGTGCTTATATGGTCAAACCACAAAAAGATAACTGTGAACGCTTGGTAAACATCGGCAAAAAAACGTCTATAAATCGGTTCTTGTTGATGGGCTACAGAGAGTTAACAAGGCTGGAAATGGGCCAGGCCCCGCCCAGAAAACCTAGGGCTCGGGCCACAAAATGTTGCCCGAGGATGGGGCTGCCTGGGTCAGGGCCATGACAAGGCCGGCCTTATCCGTCAATTTTCTTTATTTTTATTTGAACTTTTTAATTTTTTCTTGCCTGGGCCAGCCCGGTCAACCTAATAAGGACCAGGCCAGGATTTGGTCGCTCTTACAGAGAGAGAGAGAGAGAGAGAGAAGAGCCAGGTCCTGGTCCGCATTGGGTCAGCCCGGCTCGGATAGCTGCCAACCCCAAAAAAGAAGGAAAGAAAAAAAAATTGAAATAAAGAAACGGAGCTCTTGCGTCAAGGCAATGCCCAGGCCCGCTTCTTGTTAAAAACAAATTTCCGGCAAACATTCCTTCTTGTCGGCCATTAAACTCATCTCCCGCTTACGGCGTCTCTAATCCCCACTCATCACAAAAACACTTCCATTTTCAAGATACAAAGTTATGGAAAACTGGAAAATGGAATTGCTTTGATTACTGACCAACTAATGCCATTGCCTAATTTCAAATTGGAATGTTGGATCCCGGCCACCCCACGCAATGCACCATAAACCTCTCATTTTCTCTCTCTCTCTCTCTCTCTCTCTCTCTCTCTCTCTCTACTTCTCTACGTCTACTCTACTACGTACGTAACGTAGTAAGTACGTAGTACGTACTACTAACTACTACTACTACTACTACTACTACTACTACTA